CTTTACTATAAGAATAAGCTTTTAGGAAAATCAACTCAACTCTAACATTTGACACAATATCAGAATAAGAAATCTAGTGTTCAATTCCCTGTTGCTGTCCTATTTCCGTTAATTAATTTCAGCATAAGATAGGACAGGCCTACGCTTCATCAATGTATTCAGCCTTGGTTTGCCTGGAGAACCATTAATGTTCAAATATAGATTATGTTCTCTCCTATAAACTTAAGTTGTTGGCGAAGACAATTCAACTCATTTACATAACAGTTGACTTAAATTCGAACCTTCTTGTTAGGTCATGAAAGATGGAAAGATTGCCCAAGCTGAAAAGAACAGTGATCTTCTTAGTTCAGGAACTGATTTTACATAACTCATACGTGCACATAAGACAGCAATGTCAGCATATGACTGTCAAGGGGCAGACTCAGAAAAAGTAGGTAGCAGTAAAGATAATTGAGGTGTGAGTAGTTCTAAAGGGAATATGCATAATGAAGGAAGCAATGATGTTCAGAATAGCAAAGCAGATGATTTGGCTGGACCAAAAGGACAACTTGTTCAAGAAGAAGAGAGAGAGAAAGGTAGAGTTGGGCTTTCTGTCTACTGGAAATATATAACAACAGCGTATGGAGGAGCTCTCGTGCCCTTTATTTTGTTGGCTCAGATTCTCTTTCAGATTCTTCAAATTGGAAGCAACTACTGGATGGCCTGGGCAACTCCAGTGTCTGCAGATATGAAACCTGCAGTCAGGAGCTCCACGCTAATAATTGTGTATGTAGTTTTGGCAGTTGGAAGTTCTTTTTGCATCCTTGCAAGAGCCACCCTTCCTGTAACAGAAGGGTACAAAGCGGCGACTGAACTCTTCAATAAGATGCACTTTTGCATCTTCCGCGCCCCCATGTCTTTCTTTGATTCCACTCCAAGCGGACGAATCCTGAACAGAGTAAGTGCATATATATTATGTATATATTGATCACTTAAGATTGCAATATTTGTGGATCAAGCTGCGTTATCTATTTGATTAGCATGAGAAGGAAAAAGACAAAGAAGGGAAGAGGAGAATGAGCAAAAAGTTGTTTATTTGATTTCATTTACTTATCCTAATTCTTTCTTTCTTTTAGGCTTCTACAGACCAAAGTGCTTTAGATATGAACATTCCATATCAAGTTGGGAGTTTTGCTTTCTCCATGATCCAGCTCCTAGGCATCATTGCAGTTATGTGTCAGGTTGCGTGGCAGGTTTTCATTGTTTTTATCCCTGTCGTTGTTGCCTGCATCTGGTACCAGGTAATCTTCATCTGCTTCTCAGACTGGTTAATCTAGGGCTTCAGTACCAAAAGATATCATGTTTTATTTCCTCATTGAAGCTCTCTTTGAGGCTTTTAATTTATGAGCATATTATACTGTACCACACAAAGGATATTGGATTTTTACAAGCTTAATTACAACTATGCAGCAATACTACATTCCTTCAGCACGAGAGCTTTCAAGGCTGGTTGGAGTATGCAAAGCCCCTGTGATACAACATTTTGCTGAAACAATTTCAGGATCAACAACTATCAGGAGCTTTGATCAAGAGACAAGATTCTGTAACACTAACATGAAGCTTAACGATGGGTATTCTCGGCCAAAGTTCCATATTGCTGGTGCCATGGAATGGCTGTGCTTCCGCCTTGATATGCTATCTTCTGTTACATTTGTGTTCTCCTTGGTTTTCTTGATCTCTATTCCAGAGGGAGTTATTGACCCGAGTAAGTGATTGAACTAGTGTCTAACTAAACTTCCTCCTCATCGCTTACAATAAATGACCAAGTAAGATGTTAAATCATATTTTGTTTGTTTTTCCCCTTCTTTTAAAGGCATTGCAGGCTTAGCTGTGACTTACGGGCTCAATCTAAATATGTTGCAAGCTTGGGTGATATGGAATCTTTGTAATCTTGAGAACAAAATTATATCAGTTGAAAGAGTTCTGCAGTATACAAACATTCCTAATGAACCACCTCTTGTAATAGAAGGAAATCGACCAGGCCATTCCTGGCCAGCTCAAGGAGAAGTTGCTATCTTTGATCTCCAGGTAAACTTACTAGCTTTTTAATTGGCTCGCCCGACCAATTTTTGATTCATTCATCAAATGATTGGGTTCTTGTACTGTGTAGGTCCGGTATGCCCCACATATGCCACTTGTGTTGCGAGGTTTAACTTGCACACTCCCAGGAGGGCTGAAAACTGGAATTGTAGGAAGAACAGGCAGTGGTAAATCAACTCTCATTCAGACGCTTTTCCGAATTGTTGAACCTACAGCTGGTTATATTGTGATAGATGGCATAAATATCTCAACCATTGGACTGCATGATTTGCGGTCAAGGCTGAGCATTATTCCCCAAGATCCAACAATGTTTGAAGGCACACTTCGAAGCAATCTGGATCCTCTTGAAGAGTACACAGATGAACAGATATGGGAGGTAAGTTGGTTTTTAGTCTTTAATTAAGCAACTTTTCTTTATTTTGTTTCTTCTAAAGTCAGTTCTGAGGCTGGAAATTGAAGGTTAGCATCTGCTAACACATGTTTTGGTTGTTTTTAGGCTCTAGATAGGTGCCAACTTGGAGATGAAGTTAAGAAGAAGGACGGAAAGCTAGACTCCATAGGTTTGTCTTTGTATCTAATCTCAACATGCTAGCCTCACTGACAATATTAAAATATATCAACTAACAATATAAAGTTATCATATGGCAGTTACGGAGAATGGAGAGAATTGGAGTATGGGTCAGAGGCAGCTGGTCTGTCTTGGGGCGTGTACTACTTAAAAGAAGTAAAGGTGTTGGTTCTCGATGAAGCCACTGCATCTGTTGATACAGCAACTGATAATCTAATTCAGACTACTCTTCGGCAACACTTTTCTGACTGTACAGTCATTACAATTGCCCACAGGATAACTTCTGTTCTTGACAGCGACATGGTTCTACTTCTAAGTAACGGTCAGTAAGCCATATCATTCCTTTGTTATTTGGATTCTGTGGATATATAACACATTTTAGTTTTGATGCAGGCCTTATTGAGGAATATGATTCTCCATCCAGATTACTAGAAGACAAGTCTTCATCGTTTGCACAGCTTGTAGCAGAGTACACTATGAGGTCAAATTCCAATTTTGAGAAGGCAAAGTGATGATTAGTATACAAACAACAAGTTTTAATTGATGATGACGAAATCAATAGCATCGAGGGGCTTCATATAATACCACACCAACTTATCTCTTGTTGGAATGCAATGTATTCGTAATAAGTGTAAACTTCCGTAGATGCTTAATTATGTAATACGTTACAGCTGAATTTTGTATCATTTCTGCTTTATGTTTGCAATAGACACAGTAATTCTAAAGTAAAAAAAAAAGAAAAACACAATTGAAAATTTTAGTTTTTTTCTCTTTAACACTTAAATTACATGTATATAATTGAGATTGTAATGCAATCACAATTACTAGTGTAATATCCTTTTGCTAACAACATTATTTCCACTTTGGATAATCTCCAGTTGCAAAGAAAATTCCCTGAAATCGGTTTCTGGGATATAGTGAATCATATTTGAATTCGACTTTACTCAAATTAAATCTCCGGCTTTCCAAAGCTTGAAAAATTTTCTAGGTTCTCCATTCAACAGCTTCTTGATTTGAGTAACAACAAACAAGAAGGCCTGCCTATTTGCAACTCAATCTTTGATCTGGTGAACCCTATTGATGTCTATCTCTCCTCGGGTAACTTCTCTAGGTTTGAAGAGGTTGACAAAACATCAAACCTCAACAATCAATAAGTGATAGATTTGAGTAACAACTAAATTTCAATGGATATTCTGAGCTCAAATCCCTAGAGCCAACTAATCTATGCAATGTGGAAGGAAATTATTGTCCTTTCCAGAACAAAATCCTGAAGGGTACCTCTGCAAACTGTATCAATACCCTCAGCATTAGACACAGGTTTGATTTGGTCAGGACTCCCGTAATTTGTTTCGTTGGGAAATAGAGTTTTTCCATCTTCAATGCAACTGGATCTTGTTTCGTTGCAGTTACTGCAGCTACAATCTCATTCCTAACTTGAAAGCTTCTTTTAAAATGATGATTTCACGAACATACATTCGACAACTGAGAATCATTATCATCTTCACAGCTATTGAGCTCACAAACAACAAGCTCGAGACAGCAATTCGTTAATCCATCTGTGATCTACTTATGCATAACTTTTCAAGCAACTCTTTCACAGGCCAGATTCCATTACCATCGAGGGGAACTATCCGACCTCAACTCACCGAATTTATCACAACTTCCCTCACAACCAACTTGCAGGTCTAATACCACAGAGCAGATAGTTAGGAATCGTCGCTAGCTCATTTTTTGCATCGTCGTTTCTGGTACTAGGAATACAAACTCTTAAAAACTCTCAACGAAGTAGAAAACCTAGCTCATTAAATTATGAAATATAATGCAATCGAATCTATATGCGTGCGTATATATGTAAATATCATTACCTGATACGAAGCTCTGTGCCGAATTTGTGAAACGTGATGTGCAAGCAGGAGGATGTCGTCCGTCATCTTTCTCCATTACCGGAACACGTACGCCCCCGAAACCTCTACCAGCTTGACCTTGTGGAAGCCGCGGACCGCCGTCCTCCGATCTTCGATGACTCCCGCTCTGTAGTTCATTACGAAAATTTATGATCTTTCATAGTAATAGTAAAAGTTTGACAAAAAATAATAGTTTTATATTTTATTTATATTATATTTTTAATAAATTTTGAATATTACAATAAATAAATATTTTAACATATTGTTAGTTAAAAAATTAATTTTAAAAATAAAATATTAAATATTAAATATAAAAAATATAATAAAAGATTATATTTATAAGAAAAAAATTGCTATATAATAGAAGATTAACGTGATCATAATAATATTTATAAAAAAAATATAAATTTTTTAATTTTAAAAATGTAAAGACTAAAAGAATAAGCTTATTCCAAAATTGGCAGCAGGTTACTTCCACTTGCCCCTGCAAATTCCCCCACTCACCTCTTGGCCGAGAAGCTGAAGAAGTAAGCAACCTCAAAGTCCAATACCTTCTTCAATCACTCTCTTCAGGGCTTTTCTTGAGCCATCTATCATCCCAAATGCACTCGTCTCTCTTTTTTCTTCTGTAAAACCAGTGAATCCCTTCCCATTCATTGCCTCACATTGAACACTTCCTATTGGAGAAACCCAAGTAAAGAATTAAGAAAAGAAACCATATTGGTCCATATTTTCATTCGTTGTTGGTTGTATGCAATTTCTCTTAAACTAATTCGTTCAAAATTTCGGCTTTGATTGTCAAATTTCGTTTCAATTTAGGCTCCTAACAGTCTTCGATGGATATGGGATTGTCATCGACTCTCTCTCGACCCACTTCCTTTGGTCGCATGAAAATCTCGAGTTCTATGCGATTCAGAAAGTTGCCAATAATAATTCCAGCAAAAAACCACGGATATCCGTTTCGTGGAGTGTCGAGTTTTACAAATCCCGGCGTTTTCAGAGGAATTTTGTGTTCAAGATTCCCTCAAAATAGAAAATTTAACAGTGGAGCTTCCTGGAGATTACTAGGGGAAGCTATAGACGATGTGGGTGTTCAGCCAAATGAGGATGTGGGCAAGAAAGTGAAGTCTGTGGATGTTCTGTTGAAAACGGGAGCCGTTCTAGGGGCAATGATTTGTGGGCTTTTGGTGTTTGGATGCACGAGGGTATTTGCAGTGGAGGGTACAGTGAATGCAGGGTATGGGGTGTTTGGACAGAGTATTCTGCTGCTAAGGAATGCGTGGCCTAAAGTTTCGCAGGTTCTCCAGATTTTCAAGGAGCAAGGTTTGGTTTTGGCGGCGCTTTTGGGGCTGTCTGCGTTCTTTTCCATGGCTGAGACTTCCATTACGACATTATGGCCATGGAAGGTATACATTTGCTTATAGCTAATTGGAGGTGTTTTCTCTTAATCAGCTAGAATAACATGGTTTCAAAAAACGAATGTTGGAAAGCTATGTTAACTAGGAGGCTAATTTCTTCATCTAAGACTAGTGAATAATAGATTTAGAAAGTATTTCCACTTTGTAATACTGGCGAGGTCTTGGTGGTGTTTGATGTTTGGTGGTTTGATGCATTCTTTGTGATTGTGCTAAATGAGGCTCTCATAATTTATATCATATGGCAGTTTATTTGTTTTGCATGTTAGCTTCAAAATGAAAAGTTGTTCCTGCATTTCCATTGTCTGCTAATTAAGTGGATGCTGATTTATTATCTACAAAAAGATCTTTGATTTCAAGATAATGAATCCCATAAGCACCTCCTCTTATGGTGCCCGGAGGGTAGAAGGCTACAGAATCCAGCATCTCGTTTATTGGGCATCAATTGGATGGTGTGTTGATCGGTCTCTGCTGAGCTCTTTGCTTGGGGAGGGTACAAGGACAGCCAAGAGCAAGAAACACATTATAGTATTCATTCCTTACTCCATATTTGGTTGCAGATCTTATGTTTTGGTTAATGGTTATCCTCTCCATAATGTGGATGGTCTAGGGGAGCTTTTTATATGGGTGCACCAGTGCTGCCATTGTTTATATATTTATATATATATATAAAATATATTTACTTTTGAAAAAAAATTATACATGAAAGATGCTAGCTTTCTTTTGGAGCTTTTTTTTTAAAAAAAAAATATGTTGTTTACCCTAATAGAAATTTGCAATCTAATTGGTTGTCTGATATTACTCTCTATCAGGTGCGTGAGTTGGCCGAAAAGGAGTCTGAAAATGGTGTGTTTCGAATGCTTCGCAGTGATGTTACTCGGTTTCTGACAACTATTCTTATCGGCACAACGTACTGCCATTTTCTTACCATTACCATAATAAATTTCAACCTTTTGAGTCTGACTTTAAAATTTCTTATTGTGTATTTCATTTATTTCTCTCAGTGTGGTGAATATTGGAGCAACTGCATTAGTCACAGATGCAGCAACAGCAATATTTGGTGAAGCTGGTGTTAGTGCAGCAACTGGAGTGATGACTGTATGTCCAGTTTGTCCTTTTCTCTCTCGCATGAGCGTGCATAGAAAAAAACCACATGCATTCTCATAGACGCAACAATTTATAGGAATTTTTTCTCATGTTAAATTAGAGAGGCAAGGCATTTCTAAGAGCCATTTAAGCCATGGCCTAATTGCCATTTTCAAATATAATAAGCATTCAACTTTCTTCTTTATGAAGTGTTTGGAAAGATTCAGATTTATCAACGTGTTAGGTGATGTATAAAGGAAATTGTATCTGGATTCTGGACTATTATTCAATGATTCCTTTTCTTTTATAGATGGTAAATCGGCAATGAGGCAATGAAAGATTTTGAGGCTAGAGGATCTGCTAACCTGAATCTGCATTTTTATGTGGTGTTACAAAAATGATCTGCATGTTGGTGGTGTATCTTTTTCTGTTATAATAGCTATAAGATGTCAACAATGAATACCAGGATTTGCAGAATCTGCAAAGGTTATAGCATTAGTTTTTCTACCATAGACAATCCCATTCTGTCTATACTTTTGCTTTTTCTTTTCTTTGCGTTAAGGTGCATAATTGTCTTTTGGTGCAATTGAACCCTCACTATCAGGCTCGGGAAGAGAGTAACTACTAATGCATGTCATTGTGTCTGTATAATATAAGTTAATGGTGCCTAGAAGTAATCTACAAATTATTTCACCGGCTTCCTAAAACTTTGCTGCATAAAAGTTTTAAGTTCAATATGATCCATTCATTAACTATACAGTTCTTGTCCTTTTCTTGTCCCATTAGCACTCCATACTGTACATACTGGAGAAAGATCTGCTGATACTTGATTTTATTTTCTTTAGTTTTGTCAAGTTTTTCCCTCTTTAACACTCCACTATCTTGTGCCTTTTCCTGGTATGCATTTTGTGGGAAAGTCACTGGTATTTGCTTATTACCTTATTCAATTTAACTGAAATTTTTCATGAATAATACTAGGTTGCCATATTGCTTCTTACAGAAATCACTCCAAAAAGTATAGCCGTTCACAATGCTCAAGAGGTTGCTAGGTTTGTGGTAAGTTCTGCAATTAGTCATTGTTGTTTGATAAGACTGGAAGTAGTCATTGTTAGGAAGTGTATGCATTCCAAGAACAAGAATATATATTTTTCCTTTGCCATTTCATGCTTTATGCTGGCTTCTGTTATTTTTGCTTTGCTTCTGTCTGAGATGGCTTCAATTTATTTAACTGATGTTATTTATAATGCCTCTAGGTCAGGCCAGTGGCATGGCTTTCCTTAATATTATATCCTGTAGGAAGAGTTGTTACATATTTGTCGATGGGAATGCTTAAAATCCTTGGCTTGAAAGGAAGAAGGTACAGTTAATGGCAATCCTTTTTTAATCTATTTCTAATTTGTGTATAATTGTTTCTCTTTTTTTTTTCTAATTATCATTGTGGTTTCATTTTGTTTTAATGATATGAATGAACCTAAACAGTTCTGTTTCATTTGAAGGAAGTAGAAACTAGTAATTATCAATTATTTTTACTAGATATAATTCATGAATTATTTCTCTTTTTGTTTTGCAACATCCAACCCTTGTGTGTATAACTTTGTTCTTAGAGGTTAAAATGGCTGGGACTCTAAAAACCAGTTTGTCCTATTTCTTATATGAGTCTTGGAAAGTTTTATCCCTAATTTCTGACTCTTTTCTTCCACTTGTCAAGATGAGGATTGTTGATGGATCTCAAATTTTGTTCTGGATCCTTGGATTGGTCTTCTCCCTTTAGCTACTCAGTTTCCTTGTTTCTATAAATTTTTCTGGTCACCATAACAGTACTGTCTTCTGCTTGACAGTCCAAATTGAGGACCATATCTCATGGAATCTCTCCTAGAAATGTAAAAGATTGTAAATCTATTGATATCTTCTCTTTGACTCATCTTCTTGAACTCAATCATTTCCTCTTCATGTTCAAGTCATAGATTTTAACATTTTAAGACCCCTGAATCATTTTTTCATGCAAATCTTTCTTCACCTTTTTAATCTATAACTTGTCAATAACGATTGATGCCGCAATCAATGTTTTTAGAAGGTTGTTGCTCCTTTGAATGTTAAGTTTTTTGTTTGAATTGCAGATCTTAACAGGCTCAATACTAATGATTTGCTCCAAGCCTGTAGGCTGAATCAAGCCCTCTCAGAAAGTATATGTGCTGCATTTTTTGAGAATGCTAAGTCCTATTGCCATCTTTTTTGGCACTCTGACATGGCTCAGAGACTTTGGGCTTGTTTCTTTCGTACTTGGTTTTCCTTTTTGAGTTTCTTTGCCTGCCTTGAGTGTTTTATTGGTTCTCTTCGTGGTATTGATAAAAAGATAGAGGACTATTTGTTTTGGAGGAGCGGGTTTGCTGGGTTGTGGCTGTTGTGCCTAGAGAAGAGTGCAAATCTTTGAGGATCATTTCTCTCTTGTTACTTCTCTGGGATTGATTGACTTCATTTGGCATTTCTCTCGGCTAAGTGCAATGCTATGGCTGATGCACTGATGTAATAAAGAGATGAGCTGAGCAGAACTTCTACTAGTTCCCTCTATGGTTATGATTGGGTTTATCCATGTTAAGTCTACCACTTTTCATGTGTTACGATTGGATCCTTAAAGCAACTTTTCACTTTCAATATTTTTTTTTAAATGATTAAAGCTATTTTTTTTGAGATCCTGTGGATTTTATAAGGTATATTATATCTTTTTGATAAGTTACTGGATTTATTATTGAGGAAAAACAAGCTGAGTAGGTAGTGGATGGTGATGTCTAATGGGGAAAGAGTTCAATAAGTATCTCTACAGAATCTTTCGCAAAATTAAAAATATCTTATCCTTTAAAAAAAAGATGTGAATAAGTTGCATGCATATGGGTAATTCTTTCTTGTAAAGAATATCAATAGGGAGAGTGGTTCATGCACCATCCCATTTATTCATGATTTAGCTGCAAATAATCTCATTTTACCATGTATTTTACTGAGACTTATACGGTTGCATTTATTTTGGCATTGGAGCCACTATATTCCATTTTTTCCGGCCAAATGAGCTAATATGCTAGTTGGTATTTGTGTCAGTATACAATTTTTTATATCCATTCACTCCTTTCAATTTTCTTTCCCTTTTTAATTAGTGAACCATATGTTACTGAAGATGAGTTGAAGTTGATGTTGCGAGGTGCAGAACTTAGTGGTGCTATAGAAGAAGAAGAGCAGGTTCTAATTTTGGTCTTACTTTTTTATGGTTTCTGAAGTTATATACCTAATTGTTATTTTATCAAATTGTGGTCTATCATGTTCATTCTACAGGCACAGTGCCTACCTTTTGTTTTGTGATTTAGATATACTCATTTTAAAAGTCATCTTACAGGATATGATTGAAAATGTGTTAGAGATAAAGGATACACATGTTAGAGAGGTGATGACTCCTCTCGTTGATGTGGTTGCAATAGATGCCAGTGCAACTCTCATTGATTTCCATAACCTGTGGGTGACCCATCAATATTCAAGGTAATTCTTTTTAACAGTTAATTATCTTAGCTTTTGAGGTGAGATGTTGTTTTTGTGGCATGCTAAGGAACTTCATGAATTCATTATAGGGTGCCTGTTTTTGAGCAGCGTGTTGATAACATAGTAGGCATTGCATATGCCATGGATCTGCTAGATTATGTTCAGAAGGTTAGCAATACTACCTATCTGTGTCTCCTGTGTCTTTCTGTATAATTACTGAAACTTGTTCTTTAATCATATGCAACGATGTCCAAGTATGCAGAATTAATATCTGTGTGATTTTGAAGGGTGAGCTGCTAGACAGCACTGCTGTGGGAGACATGGCTCACAAGCCTGCATACTTTGTACCTGGTATGTATTAAATTTAATGTTAAATTAAGCTTAAGTGTATGCTTTTCCAGGATAGCTGTCTCAAATGTTTTTCTGATTTCTGAGAAGGAATTACTTTTTCATGTTACTGTTTTCACCCTGAAATTTAGACGTGTATGTATTTGATGCGTCTATGGCTATGAGGCTGCTAACTAGGTATCACCTCATATCGATGTTTTCAGTTCGTCTTAGTAAGGCTGGAATGCTTTTCTTACTGCACAGCTGGTGGATCTAGTGGAAGCCAGTTGTTTCTTCCATCCAGCCAATCACTGCTTTTAGTCTGGATTATTTAAAATAAAACCCGTTGGTCTCTGACTAACTGTTTTTTTTTTTTTGCTTTTTCCATTTAAACACTTGGTAGCAAGTCTTATCCTCTGTGATAACTGGTACCATGTACACATACTCATAAATGAGATGACTGTGCATGCTGTTTCAAGATTCGAGAGACTTCTATTCCATGGAGATAAGGCTTTAGCCTTCTTTTGCAGAGAACATTGATTTTTCTAAAAGGGAAGGAGGTGGAACAAAAGAGGACCAAGCCATAAACTGCTAGACTTTCTCATCACCATATGTACTTTCTTTAATTTGACATTTTTAGTTTTATCTTGTCTAAACAATGACTTGCAAATATTAGGCCGTGATTAGTGCTTAATATATAAAATGAAGAGTTTTCCTAAGAAAATTCATCTCGTTGAACTCTTGGAAAAACAACGAAAACCTTGCTTTCTTATCCATGCTGTAAAAAGTTTAGTATGGCTGTAGGTTATGTAAAAAGTTTTGGAGTCAGTTAATAAATTTTCAAATCTTTTTCATTAATGAAAATCCATTGATTGTAATTGTCTTATTTTTCTGCACATTCAAATAACTAAATTATGTTATTGGTTCTGCAGATTCAATGTCAGTATGGAATCTTCTTAGAGAGTTTCGAATAAGAAAGGTTCACATGGCTGTTGTTCTTAATGAATATGGTGGAACTGTGGGAGTATGTATCAACCTTCTCTTTGGCACCTAAGCAATTCAAACTAGATTTTGTTACTGGGTTAAATGTCAATCATCATAATAAGCTTTATATCTTTATTATTATTGTTATTATTATTATTATTTGAACCTAGTTTCTATTAGTGGTTCCACATTTGAAAAGGGTCCCTTAGGGTTACCAAAAAGTGATTGTTATTGAATTTTCTGCCTGTCTGGCATTTTGTTATGCATAAAATAGTCTGGAACAAGGCCAAAATATTTGAGAGCAAAATTTATTATTCTAGAGTGTGAATAGGTATGGTTGCTTGTGAAGACACTCTCTGTTACTTTGAGATGCCAGTGTCATATAATACTCAAAAGTTGCAATAATGCAAGTTGAGATGGGTCAGAACTATTTGTGCTGTAACGAGCTGATGCCTTGTCCTGAGTAGGTGAAATAGAACCGTTAGTCTATTTTGATGTCCAACACCACTGAGAAAACTTCGCTATGAAAACTTAAAAGAAGTAATACTGACGTAAGTTCTTAGCTCCTTAAACTTATTTTCTTTGTGTTATAGTGCAGAACTACATTACATGGCAATCAATTTGATCATCGTGCTGTTATTCCTTTTGGCCCTCCTATTTTTCTTCCCCTCTTCATTTCTATGTATGGTGCAGGTAGTAACATTGGAGGATGTGGTTGAGGAGATTGTTGGTGAAATCTTTGATGAAAATGATTCAAAAGTAAGTCTTCTATGGTTATATTTTTCCAAATTTTGTGGATTTATTTGACTGCATCTGTCATTACCACTCAAAAATTGGATGTCAGTGTAAACTTAACAGAAAGAAAAGCCTTCATATGAGAATGTCAGATAGTGAGCTTGTAGGCAAGGAAGTAATTCATTTTATGTGTTTTTGAGTACACATATGGGATATAACGTTGATAACCTCTGGTTATATCTCAACCTGGAAATAAAAAATTCTTAAGAATGCTGTTTATGTCTATCCACAAAATAAAGGCCTTCGCTTTAATGAAGATGCAAGAAGTGTTCTCTTTCTTCGTAGATTTATTCTGGTGACATTTATATAGTTTTTATAGTAGAAATTCATACATATCATTAATTATGTTTCATCTCGCACTTCACACCAACTTCCTGAAAATAACACACAAACACCTCTCACAACTCAACCTCGCATTATCGAGAAAAATATGAAAGTACCCATCATCTATCCAAGGAATGGTTAGTGATGACATTTATATGGTTAAAAATGGGTGTTAATTTATTGTTGATCTTTCTTTTTTGTTGTAAAACAATAGGAAGAGATCCAGAAGAAAACTGGCTATGTTGTAATGCGGGCTGAGGGAATATTTGATGTCGATGCCAATACATCTATTGATCAGCTGTCTGAAGACCTAAATATTAAAATGCCAGAGGTATGTCACTGTTTCTGGTGTCCAAACAAGCTGTTGATTGAGGGCGAAAATACCGTCTTTATAGGTCACAAAAATGTAAACTATCTGATCTTTAGAGCTCTAACTGCAAATCCTGGTAACAGCACATTATACTTTTTATTAAGGGACAAACTCTTAGATTTTCTAAAGTAAACTACTTCAAGCCCATTTGATTCAATTCTTATTTCATTTTTACCTTAGTTCTGTTCGTCACTTAATTGCTGAACTTAGTTCGTCACTTAATTGCTGAACTAGTCTTGGTATGTATAATTGTAACATAATATCTAGTTTGAACAACCTTCACTCCTGATTTACATTCTTTGAGGACTGATTTATAATTTCTACCTTTTCATGTAGAAATTGAACATACGCTCTTGAGAATTCAAGGGGGAAGGGAGGTGGTTCACATGTAAAATTTATATTTCAACTTATCCTATTAAGTGGTCTCATAATTGAGCAAAGGAATATGGTAGAGTTGGAATGAAAGTTGAACTGATGGGAACTTTCTTGTTTGGTCGATTTTATATCTTTATAGGTTTTGTACTTTCTGCCATTTAGGCGGTCCATAAACAAGGAACTTATGTGTGATTAAACTGCAAGTTGGTTACATTTTAGATGTGGTAGGCTTAGTGTTTGTAGTTGTTGTCAGTACTCAGGGTGATGCAAACATTGTTTAGATGCATTACCTTCCAAAATGACTATATTTTTTTATGCTAAGACAAAATGAGCAAAAAGTTACCGGATGGAATATCTGTAAATGCTTAGACCCATACTTCGGTTGATCTCCTTTTCTTTCCATACTATCTTCCAGGGTCATCAGTATGAGACGGTGTCAGGTTTTGTATGTGAAGCATTTGGATATATTCCGAGGACAGGTGAGAGTATCAAAGTTGTCCTCCAAAAAGAAAATTGGGAAGATGATGATGAACACGATGAAAATGGATCTGATCGCCAAGATACGAAGGAAAAGCGTCAAATTTATAAATTAGAGGTATAAGTTGTATTCTTTTTTTTGCAGCCAAATTGTGGAAGCTGTACTGCATGCAGAAGTTTTTCAAACCCATGACTACTTTTCTTTGAGATCATGAGCAAGCATTCTCTATTTTTATTCTTTATTTTTCTTTTTGAAATAAAAATACATATATATTCATTCACATGCATCATGAGAGTGCAAACCCAAGGTCCTCAAGACCCCCAAGGTCCTCAAAAGAATACAAAGAATGACCCTTACTCAAAAAATCTAAGTCTGGAACCCATTAACCTTAACCTTAACAAAATTGTGTTTCTTAAAAACTCTCGTGTTCCTTTTTTTTTGCACTGCCCAAAAAGTAGTAAGGGGAATAAGACTCACATGTCTCTTTTCACCTCCAATCCCTTTCTAAGCGTAAATTTCCTCCCTCATTGAACCAACCATCTCTCGGTTAATATCCAAAAGACCATAAGCTAAGTTCTATAGTCTATATGCAAAAAGGCACCATAAAAGTAGATGATTATATGATTCTGCATTCCTTCTCCACACTCACAGGGATTGTAATTTGAGGCATTTAGTAAATTGTCATATTTGCTAAAGTGCTTATAATGAGAGTGAGTTTCCTCCCTTGGAAGTCTCTTCCAACTGGCCAAATGTTGTTCGAGTCGAGCCACCACCGGATCCTAAGTAGAAACTTCCTTGTATTTAGTCCCAACGGTAGTTCCAAATACTTAATAGGCAAATAAACTATATTTTTTTTCTTATATCCAAGGATATTTGCTAAACTATTATCATCTTTATATTTTTTTTCTTATACCCAAGGATATTTGCTAAACTATTATCATCTTGGCCCTCTGAAGTCTCACCGGCTCAGACGTGGCAAGGTTAATGTTGAGACCTTATACTTCTTGGAAGTTTAACAGAATGCATCTCATATTTAGCAAGGCTTTCTCCCCCATCTCACAGAAAAGCAATATGTCATCCGCAGAAAATAAATGAGTAATCTTCCCCTCATGCTCCCATCACCGTTACTCCTACAACCACTCCAAGTTCGCGGGCCCTCAAAATCATTATATCGAGAGCATCCACAACAATTATGAACAAAGGCGGAGACAAGAGATCTTCTTGTCTGAGACCTCTGATGATCCTAAAGAAAAATGGTCTCCCATTCATCATAACAACGAAGGAGATGGTAGAAATACATCTGACCCAATTTCACCATTTGTCCCCAAAATGCATCCTCATGTAATTCAGAAATTCCTAATTCACATTGTTATAGGTTTTTTCCATGTCAAGTTTGCAAAGGAACCCCTCTAAATTCTTATACTTCAGTTCATCGACAATCTCATTTGCAATTAGGGCTGCATCCAAGACCTGACTACCTCCCATGAATACATGTTGACACTCTTCCCCCACTTTCTTCAACACCTTTGCCATTCTTCTCGCCAAAACTTTGGCAATAAGTTGCATTTATTTATTCTTTATTGTTGACTAATTGGAGGTGATAGAAAAAGCAGAGATTAGCGAATAAGATGGAAACTTGTCTCTTCTCAAAAAAAAAGACAAAAAACAAAAAAAAACAAAAAGACAAAAAGGCTGCATATCAATTGCCAGTTATCAACGTCTGCCTTCAAAGTTTGGTTATATCGATACCTTTACCAAGAATACATATAAGGAAATAATAAGATAAGTGCAGTTAACCATCATGGGGTATCTTGAAGGTTGTTTAGGGAGCTTATTCAGAATTTTGTTTTCCTAGCAAGACAAATAAAACAGCTAGATAAGCTATGTTCTTAAGAAATAATATGCTGGTTTTATTGAATCTGGTTCATTAGTTTTTTAGTTTGGTGTGACAAAGCTGAGAAACCTACCCAACCAACCATGAAATTCCATTTTCAGATTCTTTTTTCCTGCAAGTACTTAGATTTTATCATTCTAACAATTGTAAGTACCAGAAAGGACGATCTCCTTGCATAACTGGTGTAGGTCTTACTGTTTAATATCTAGAATCCGTGTATTTCTCGCAGATATTAGCAGGAAATGCGAGAAAGGTCAGTGCTGTTCGGTTTGAACGAATAAATAGTGATGATCCAACTTTGGAGGCCAAAGAAGTGAGAAGCTTGGTTCCAAAAATCATGAAACGGAAATGGAGCAGTGATGAAGACTCAGATGGTACTGACCATGGTGAAGATTTGTCTCCACCAAGAGCAGAGAACGGCCTAGATGATGATCATGTAAATGCCAGAAATGAAAAGAATAATGAGAGTGAAGATAGACGGTAGCGACGTTGTTCTCATTTATCGTTTGTTTTTTTCTTTTATTATGTTGATTCTTACAGTTCACTGAAAGTTGGAAAAGAAAACAAAGGGACTCTAGTACAAGTTAGACTCCCATTCTAAAATCCTTTTGAAGGGATGAAGTATCAAAATCTGACTCATCATGGTCATTTGTTCTGTGCAATAACAGTGTCTTCCAAACATGACTTCACGGAATTGGGGAGTATCCACGACAGTAGGTTGAAGTTTATCGGAGCCACGAAGAGGTGGGCATGGAAAGTGAACCAATGCAGAGCTGAAAAACAATCCTGGTGGCTTAGGAGCCATGGTTAGATACATCTGCTCTGATTCAAAGAACATTTGTCGTAAGAGCTCCCTCTTTTCTCTCATATTTCCCGGCCTCTCTGCAACTGTCTAAACCTCTTGCGGGAAGACAGTTGAACAAATAACAGATCGGTCACTCTCTACCGCGTGAACTTTAACTTTGTCAACGAGTGGCCTTTAGTGTTTCGTCTCAGTTTTGTGAACTCCTATACATAGAATGTAAATCGAGTTCTTTGGGATCTTAAACACATTATTAGCCTTGTATTAGACTGTGACATATAAACAGAGAGTAGAAGCGGCACCCGGTTGCAGAGTCCAAGAAGGCCAAACAATGTGGCTAATCTTGTAAGTTGTGTTTGGAGGATGAAAGGGTGGCTGGCCACCTTACGATTTTTTTGGTTTTTAATAAATTTATTATAATTTAATTTTTAATATTATCAATATATTTTAAATGTTTATTTTCTATCTAAATAGTAATAGAAAAAAAAATACATAAAATTAATTGATTTAAAGAAAAAGAAATTTAAAAAATATAATTTTGATTTGGCAATTTAAAATTTAACAATCTTTTTTCTTTTTTTTTTAAATTTTTTGAATTTTTAATTATTTCAAACTTTAATTATTCAAACATGACTTCATATTTTTTTAGCTTTTCCTCTTACTATTTGTATGAAAAATGAGCATTTGAAATAGATGCATAGTGTTGCAACCAAATTGTAAGAAAACAAAAATATTAAGATCTAAACTCTATAAAAAATAGTAAGCTTTTAGGATTAATTTTTGTAATTTATTTTTTGTTAAAAGTAAAAAAATTTATAAATTTTGTTAATTAGATGATATATATATATCAATCATAATATAATTAATTTTTTAATAAAAAAATATGAGAACGCATAGCCAAATTTAAATTCATATGTCGTAATAAAAGAAAAAAAATATTAACCATTTATGTAAATAATGATAAGTTTAACGTAGCTAACTTTTAAGACCTAAACATAGTTTTTAGATAATTTACTTTTAAGAGAAATGTTACCATTCAATCACAGTATCTAATATTAGTTTATAGAGGAAAAAAAATTAATCTAGTAGATGAGTTGATAATACCCACAAATAATATTATAAATTGGAGCTTCCAATAATGCTATTATAGTTAAATACTTTTTTCAGACGAAAAACATTCAATAGAGACAGAAGAATTAAGTCTAAGTTGAAATTGATTAAAGTAAAATAATTCTTTGAAACAGTATGATTAGGTTTTAAATTCGAATTGACAATTTTATTTTTTCCTTTTCAGCTAAGAAGAGGAAAATGAACAAACAATTAGTGCCTAGTAAGATGAGCTCAAATAGTATCTCAATTGTCTATGTATAAATAATGATGGAGAGAATTGGGAGCCTAGTCCATTCTAGTGCATCCTAAGACGATTAACACATATATTGTCGTCTATATGGATATAAGAGATTTAAATAATCATAATTGAATGAATATTAAATGTCATTTATTGAAGCAGATTGTAAATAAATAATGAGTCTATTTCAAAAATTAGTTTCTTGATTATTTTATCTTAAATCAATTTAAGACTCTTGAACGTATCTAGAGCTTAGTATTCATAGATAATTAGTTCCAAGATTGCTCATGAACCCAACCACTCATCTTCCTTAGCTATTATGGATTAAACTGTCAACAAAGATTAACTTAGATTATTATAGATAGAATCATCAGTATTGAACTTGTACTAATCCAGAAAATGGGCTTCCCACCCTGCACCAAGATGTCTAGAAGAAACTCTTATTTCATTATAAGGGACAGGGTTAATATGAATAGTCGATAACTCCAAAGTTAAATGAATAATCTACATCCTTGACAAATCTTCTTTTTTTGCCTAAAATGCAATCATTTCTCTTGGTCTCCAACTTATGAAGTCATGAGTGCTACCTTCAATAAATATATCAATCTAATCCATTTGTCAAAAAGGAAAGGAAACAAAAAATATTCGTATAGTTAACGTCAATTAAATTTCAATCATATATGTTTAGTGATCTAACAATCAAATTGTCAAATTTTATTAAGAACATGATGTCATCTAATCTAATCGTATATGTTACTACTTTAAACTAAATCCCTCATTTGGTATTTGAATTCTATTTAAATTTTATTTTTTATTTTATTTAAATAATATATTTTCATAATTCACTTTGTTTCAAAGTATTTATTTTTATCAAAGTGGTTCGATAAATATTTAATTTTATCAAACTTTTGAATTGATTTTAATTTTGCTGAGGATTTCACAGCCTTCAAATAAAATTGGATATTTCTTTAACATATGTTAGATTCATTACAACTTAATTATATTATGATAAATATTATAATAATAAATGAGAAGAATGATGATGATAACGATGATGTAATGATATGACGTAAATTGTGTGAATTATTTTCTTAATCGATCTGATTTCCAGCTAGTAATTAGGCTAAACCAAATTAAATTAGGAATTAGGCTGCAGAATTGGTCAAGTCAACCATATTATGAATTTTAATTTTCTCACCCATGTGATCTTCGGAATCCATAATACTTCGAAAATACTTCCTAATTATAAAAGTCAAACATATATTTTACCTGAGAGAATATACTCTGTTCTGGTAATCTTGGTCATGGATGACTAAAACGACGTGGATATATATATATATATATATATATATATTTATAACGTTAGAGTATATAGCAACCCGAAGATTCATATACATGCATATGATATGATGATCATCGTCAGAAGGACACTTAGGATGGACATATCTGTCAAATCCTGACACTCTGTAGGTATGCATTTACTTATATAAATAAATTCAATTGTTTAACTTTGAAGTCTTAGTTAATGGCATGTTTAATACTAATTATGTTTGACTAATTTAGAGTTGGTTAGTATACGGGCGTGTTGATAACGTGTTGTAAGATACTGGCCGTTGAATCCACCATAAGTGGATCAGAAACTTAGCCTTTAAGTTCAACTTATATTGTCATTTTCACTAATTTTAAATTTTTAATCAAATTAATTAAACCCTTAATCCGCTAATCAGTGAACTGTCGACTACATAAATTGAATGGCATTCTTTGATACTTTGATTACAGCTTCCTCCATCACTTTTTTCTCGTAGTACAACATTACGTACTACTCTTTCACTTAATTCCAGTATATATACATACGATGAAGGTAACTTAAATAAGCTACTTTATAGCAGCTACTTTTATGATTACTAATATGTGGATATACATTTGATCATCTACATAAGCGTCTTTTACAACTGCAGCTTGTTCATTTAATGATCAACCAGCTTGAGATAGAGATTTATATATATGAATATATGTAATCGATTAACTCTGATATGTAAATATATATACAAATACATGCATGACATGTTTTATTTTATATAAATGTTTGCAGCAAAAGATAGTTATCAAGGTCGAAGTTAAGTGTGACAAATGCAGAATCAAAGCCTTGACAGTAGCAGCTGATTCAGATGGTACGTATCAATATCTACATGTATATGTTACATGTATATATATTTTAAGCTAGGTTTGATTTCTTCAAGACCCTGTTGCAGAGGATTGATGTTTAATATATATATATATACATATGTATAGAAATGAATGTGGATATATGTGTATATATAGGTGTTACATCAATGGGTTTTGAAGGGGAGGGAAAGGACAGGTTGGTGGTGATAGGGGAAGGAGTTGATTCAGTGAAGTTGACGGAGAGGTTGAGGAAGAAGAACGTGTATGCAACCATTGAAACTGTTGAAGAAGTCAAACCGCCAAAACCAGAAGAGAAGAAAGAAGAAAAGCCGCTGCCAGCTCCACCTCCATCTCCACCTCCACCTCCACCGCCATGTCAACCCCAGTTTCAGCTCTGCGAGGTGGTCTACGACGACCCATATGCTTCAAACCCTCGTTGCACCATCATGTGACCCCATCATATACCTCCATAAAATATAGTTTGGTAATATATATACATATATATAATTCTTAGAAAAGTCTACATTCCCATATTCTTTTCTGTTTAAATTCTCTTTGTCGAGATTGTCTTGATCAAACTTGTTTCGTGCTAGCACGTAATATCGTATGTACTTGTCACCAGAAAGACACACACACACACATACATATATATATATATATATATATATATGCAGGTTGACTTTTTTCTTGCCCTATAGCAAATATTAGTTCTTGTGGAGTAGGGGAAATTACTATCAAAATTTTTTTTATATTCTAGAAATAAATTAATGCCTTCACGTAATTCTAATTTCTAAAATTATGTAACCAATCCTAGTTTCTTGGGAGATTTTAGACCAATCTCTTAAATTAGATTTTAGCCAAGTTTTTTATGAATACATTACATTTGTTTATATATATATATATATAATTTCATTGAATTAATAGAAGTATGTACTTAAGAGAGTAGGCAATTGTTAAATTAGTAATGTTGTCCAATTATTAATGGATTGGTCAACCCAATAAAAAATTATAGGTGATTATATATATCTAACCACTAAATGTATACCCCGCATTATACATGAGTTGGAATTTAAAAATCAATTATTCAATACATAAGTTGAATTATATATATAATTGATTTAGAATTAATATATTTTTTTATTTAAACTTTTATTTTATTTATAAGATATTTTTATATTTATTTCATAAAATTACAATTTAAATTAAACTCAATATTTTTTTTGTAAACACAAAGGAGAGAAACGAAAACAAAACAAAAAAATCTAAAGATCTAGGAGGAACATATTTTAGACCGAAAAACACCAATGAAATTTTCGTTTATAACGTTAAGAAGTGTTGCTAAGTTTGAAAATCAAAAAGACTCGAGAAAACCTTATTAGCTAAATAGTCAACGTAATGATTACTTTCTCAATAAACATGTTGAACCTTATGTTCTAATCACGTTCTAAACAAGTCTGTATCACTTGAATCAGATAAAAATTAGCATTGATTTTTTTTGTAATATCAATACTTCTCCCTCTTCTTGGTAGGGTTTGCCATTTTATCCCTTTGACTTTTTTTCGAACTCTTCCCAAAAAATACTCTTGTTCTTATTAATAACAATTTTATTTTCTCATATATTTCTTATATTCTATACTATTTTTAAAAAAATCTTAAAAATAATTTTACTTATTTTAAATTAATTATTCTTCAGAAATTATTTTTTAAAAAAATATTTACAATAAATTGATAACTTTCTACTTAACTTATTAGTACATTAATCAACATGTAAGCTACGAAAAACTGTAAGATTAAATTTTAGATTAGTTCTCAATTAATATAAATTTAATATTTTAATTAAACATATATTAATCTCGAAAAAGATAGGTTATGAAGTTAACGTTGTGTAATAAATACATACAAAATATGTGTATAAACAGAAAGTAGAATCAGCACCAAGGTTATGGAGTCCAAGAATGCCAAACAATGTGGCTAAGCTTATATTATTTTATTAAATTAGCCTTAACGTTTGTTAATTATTATGTTATTATTATTAATATATAATCTAGTTTCTGGTGCTATACAGATGTTTCAAATGCTCATTTTCTATACAAATGGTAGTGAGAGGAATAATAATAATGAAGGAAACCCATAGGAAAGGTGAGTGGAAAAGGAAATTGAAAGGTGAAGACCAGCTGCTCACTTGCATGACCAGAAACTAAGTGTGAGAGAGAAGGAGAAAGAATTGCCGTGTGGAGAAGTGGAAAGAAAATTTAGAAGATGAAGAAGACCATTTGCGCCATCAGAACTCAAACGTCAAGACAGAGAGTTGCCGTAGAAAACCACTCAATCAAAGAGGAAGACCTGCGGGATAGATTGATGACGAGGAGGGAAGACCATGGGATCTCATGGTAAGACTGTGTCTGCCAAAAGGAACTTTTAGAATAATCTTTCCTCTCTTTGAATTTGTAATTATTTTAAAAATTAAGAACGAGTGTGACTAAGTTAATGGATTAAACTATCGACAAAGGTTTCATTTGGGTCACTATAGATAGAATCATCGGCATTGAATTTGTGTCAATTTCTAGAAGGGGCGGCCTCCTACTCGCACTAAGATGCTTGGAGAAAACTCTCGTCTCGTTGTAAGGGATAGGATTCATGTTAACAACCTAGAACTCTAAGACCAAACGAAAAATCTTCATACTCGACAGGTTCGCAAGATTCTCTTTCTTGCTGAAAATGCTACCATTTATCTTTTCTTAAAGGAGTCATGCCATTATCGAAAAAATTGATTTAAAACTTAAAAAGGTCGTGAGTACTGACTTTCGTAAGCATATGTCTACTTTATTCACTTGTTAATAGGAAAGAAAAATAAATTATTAGTATAGTTAACATCAATTAAACTTGACTGTACTTAATTAGTCATCTGATATTCGAATTATTAAGTTTTCTTAAATATATTATGTCATCTAACTCATATGTTATTGTTTCGGATTGAATACGTTATTTGGTATTTGAATTTTGTTTAAAATTTATTTTTGTTTTCACTTGAATAATATATTATTAATTTACTCAAAATATTTAGTTTAATCAAATTTTTGAGTTGATTTTAAGGTTTGTTGAGGATCTCATAGCCTTCAAATAAAATTGGAAACTTCTTAGCAAATGCTGATTCATTCCCAAACAATAAATAATAAAATATTTTTTGAACTTTTTATTTCTAAAATTTATATTTCTTTATTCATTACAATATGTAAGAACTTTGTATTTATAAAATTGTATCATCATTCTGTTCATAATTGACTAACCTGAAATTAAATAAAAATTTCTATAAAGATGATGTAAATGTCGTAAATTAGTTTCTTAATCCATCTGATTTACAGCTAGTAATTAGGTTAAACCAAATTAAATTAGTGTAATTACTTTTGAGGATTTGGTCAAGTCAACCATCTCACGAATTATAATTTTCTGACCCTTCGAACATAATTCCCAAGCTTTAAAGTCAAAACATTTATTTTTCATATGATCAAATTTTTCTCTGAATTTTAGGTGACCCACCCTTTTTTTCTTTTTTCTAATTGTAATTTAATTCTGCAAAAAGGTAATTTGATCTAAATTTTAATTTGTCTTAAATTATAAGTATTAGCATTCTGATTATCTTAATTAAATTAGATACGTTGTTTTGAAAATTATTATATACCGAGGCTGCCAACCTATGACTAATATTTTTCCAATCTGGACTTTTTGGCTTAATTTCCTAACCACTCCCTCTCATTAATATATTTTATACTTAATTATATATTAAATATGTTTTAAAAATTAAATAAAATGTTAATCGAGGTCTTTGTCCAGATTATTGAGCTCAATTTAATAATAACTGATGTTGACAAAATTGTTGCTGCAAATTTCAAGAGAATATGCACTGTTCTAGTAATATTGGCCATAGGTGATTAACAAGATGTTGATAATGTCCAAATTTAATTTAATGAAAATTAAATTAATTTATAATTGTAGTTTTTTAATTTTTTAATTTTTTAATTTTAATTTAGTATAAAAATGAAAGAAATTTGATGAATGATGAAATTAGAAATAATTTTGAAAAAATTAGAGTGAATATTTGGATTCTGTGAATATTTTTGAAAGAAAAATCAGAAACTGAGAGTTAAAATATAATTTAGAAAAGTCGTGCCACGTAGGATGCCCAGTCAGCAGCACCGACGAACCAGAACACGACGTGTGGCAACGGATGCTGACGCGGTGCCACGCAGGCGATCCGCATACCCGCAATCGAACGGCCCAAATCCATTCCCGCGCGCACGGACAGGCCAGATGCGTGCACTCCCCAGACGCGATCGGATGGTCATATTTAAACGCAATCAACGATTCAAATCTACTTCCTATTTAATCGCAATCGGACAGTTCAGATCAAACGCGATAAATGGTCCAGATTAAAAGCGGACGGGTATATATAACCCTCTTTATACCAAACCCTAACCCTAGCCGCCAGACCCCCTTGCCGGAAAAGAAGACCCAGCCGCCAGGAAGGAGAGTCGCCGCCACGCCGGAGCCACTTCTAACCGCCAAAAGAAGTAAAAATTTTCTTCTTTACTCGAAATTCAATTTTAAACACCTACATGGCCAAATCGGAGCCAAAAGAGCAGCAGATTGACAGAAAATCGTGAGTAAAGCCCGGTGCTGCCGCCGCAAGGAATTTTAAAAATCGCCTCCGATGAGACCCTTCCCGATTCCCCTTTTGCATAATTTTTTCACTATTTTGATCACCGTTTCCTTCTCTACAAGTTAACCAGAGCAAAACACCCAACCGCAAAGTGAGCCGGCGGAGCCACCATGCCGGAGAGCCCCACCATCGGTGAGTTTTAGTTTTTCAAATTTTTTCGGCCAACTGAGACCCTTTAACGTATTTTCTAATAGGAATTGATGCAAAATCGGCTGAAAATAGTCAACCCGAGGAGGACTGGCGCTGTCGTCGTGCCGAAATTGGCTGAAAAAGGGTATTGACATTGTTTTTGGATTTTTTAGGATATTTGTAGATACTTATAACGCGTCTTAATCCCCGAAGAAAAAATTTAGGGAACCCGGGGATCGTCAGTAGGCGCAGTCAACAGTTTAGCTTTTCGGTCATCAAATTGAGTAGTAATCTCTCACCATATTCTCTGTTATGAAATTGAAGTCCAATTAACAATAATATGGTAAATTATGCAATCTAAAAAATATTTATAATTAATTACGGCTTACTAATGGAGTCAGAACCGGAAACCATTCATCACTAATTTTGTTGATTTATTTTACGATTTAAATGTATAAATGTATTTGATTGATCGATTTTATATCCTTGAATGCATATATTATTTATTTTATGGTTTACGGTTGAATTGGAAAAAAAATGAGATTAAAAAAAACGAAAAATTGTGCAATTAAGTGAATGGATGAAACGACAGTTTCACTGGATATCACAGGAAATATAATTTTTGAAAGAAAAATCAGAAACTGGAAGTTAAAATATAATTTAGGAAAGTTGTTCCACGAAGGATGCCCGGTCAGCAGCACCGACGAACCAGAATACGACGCGTGGCAATAGATGCTGATGCGGTGCCACGCAGGCGATCTGCATACCCGCAATCGAACAGTCCAAATCCGTTCCCGCACGCAAGGACGACTTAGATCCATTCCCATGCGCACGGACAGGCCAGATGCGTGCACTCCCCAGACGTGATCGGACGGTCATATTTAAATGCGATCAATGATACAGATCTACTTCCTATTTAATCGCGATCGGACGGTACAGATCAAATGCGATAGATGATTCAGATTAAAAGCGGACAGGTATAAATAACCCTCTTCACACCAAACTTTAACCCTAGCCGCCAGACCCCCTCGCCGGAAAAGAAGACTCAGCCACCGCCGCCCGCCGTTGCGCCAGAGCCACTTCTGATCGTCAAAAGAGGTAAAAAATTTCTCTCTTACTCGGAATTCAATTTTAAACACTTACATGGCCAAATCGGAGCCAAAAGAACGGCGGATTGGCCGAAAATCGCAAGTAAAGCCCGGCGCCGCCGCCGCAGGGAATTTTAAAAATTGCCTCTGATGAGACCCTTTCCGATTTCTGTTTTGCATAATTTTTTCACTATTTTGATCACCGTTTCCTTCTCTACAGGTTAACTAGAGCAAAACACTCAACTGCAAAGTGAGCCGGTGGAGCCGCCACACCGGAGAGCCTCACCGCTGATGAGTTTCAGTTTTTCAAATTTTTTCGGCCAACTGAGACCCCTTAACGTATTTTCTCGCAGTAATTGATGCAAAATCGACCAAAAACAGTCAACCCGAGGAGGACCGGCACTGCCGCCATGCCGAAATTGGCCGAAAAAGGATCTTAACACTGTTTTTAGATTTTTTGGAATATTTGTAGTACTTATAGCGCGTCTTAACCCCTGAAAAAAAAAATCAAGGAACCTGGGGACCGCCAATATGTGCAGTCAACAGTTTAGCTTTTCGGTCATCAAATTGAGTAAGAATCTCTCACCATATTCTCTGTTACGGAATTGAAGTCTAATTAATAATAATATGGTAAATTATGCAATCTAAAAAATATTCATAATTAATTACGGGTTACTAATAGAGACAGAACCGGAAACCATTCATTGTTGATTCTGTTAATTTGTTTTACGGTTTAAATGTATAAATGTATTTGATTGATCGATTTTATATCCTTGAATGCATGTATTGTTTGTTTTATGGTTTACGGTTGAATTAGAAAAAAATGAGATTAAAAAAAAACGAAAAATTGTGTGATTAAATGAATGGATGAAACGACAGTTTCACTGGACATCCTAGGAGATAATGGAGGGATTGGGTCCATTTGGGAACCTTACTGTAAATGTTGTCTTATACCGAATGGAGTATTGAGGTTTAGTAATTTGGCACTCATACCGGACGGGATATGGGAACGGCTCATTTCACCCTCATACCAGATAGAGTATTGAGGTTTAGTAATTTGGCACCCATACCGAACGGGATATGGGGACAGCCCGTAATTGAGAATGTTAAAGAAAATAGTTCAGGCATAGTGGGGACATCCCTATGAATCCCCACGGATACCAGTAGGTTGATAAAAATGAATAGTTATTGTTTTGATTAATTGAACATGGAATTATAATACGTGCATGTTATCGATTGAATATGAAATCATAATCTGAATTATGTTATTGTCTCTATAAGTTATTTTGTAAATCTCACTACGATAAGTAGATGGTAAAATATTTTGGTTATCATAAATGAATTTGTTTAATTAAGAGGTTCATTAGTTATTTTAATTTTTCTATCAACCTTCATTTCTGTGTTGGTGAGTACCATTATATTCTTAATGGGTTAGTGTACCTCATTTTTTATTTAATCATTTTAGATAAAGAAAACCAGAATCCAAAACCCGATCCACAAGAGGGTTATAATAGAATACCAGTTTTATTTATTTTTTAAAATTTTTATATTTTCTTTCAAAAGGATAATTTATGTAACAATATTTGGTACTTTAAGTTATTGTGTAAGGAATATAAACCCTAATTAATTATTTTGCTTCCGCACTTAATTTATAATTTATTTTTTTTAGAATTCTGAAATTCTTATACACGCACATATATATAGTTAGAATATATAGCAACCCCATGATTCATATGAATGTATACATATGATGATCATCGTCGGTATGGACATATCTGTCAAATTTTGAGAGTCTGTCGGTAGAGAATTACTTTTATAAATAAATTTAATAGTTTAATTTTGAAGTTTTCAAAAATTATATGTTTAAAATCAATTATGCTCAACTAATTATTAATTATGTTTAATTTATTTAAAGTTATTTAGTATACGGGCGTGTTGACAACGTACAGTAAAATAATGACCGTTGAATAAGACAGAAGTGGATCAAAAAACTTGGCCGTTTAAGGTCAAATTATATTGTCAATTCCAATAATTAATTAAACCCTAATCTGGTAATTAGCGAAGTCCCAACTCTATAAATTCAAGGCATTGTTTGATTCTTTGGTTGTAGTTTCCTTTATCACATTTTTCTCGTAATACAACTGTACGTACTACTCGTTCACTTAATTCCAGTATATATACATAGGATGAAGGTAAGTTGTATAATAACTAATATGTAGATATACATGATCCACTACATATGTGTTTTCCACAATTGCAGCTTATTCATTTAATGATCAACCAGCTTGATGTAGAGATCTATATATGTGACCATATGTAATCAACTAACTTTGATATATATATATATATATGTATACATCCATGACGTTTGTTTTATATAAATGTTTGCAGCAAAAGATAGTTTTTAAGGTCCAGGTTAGGTGTGAGAAATGCAGGAAAAAGGCCTTGACAGTAGCAGCCGATTCATATGGTATGTATCAATATCTACATGTATACGTTATCTGTGTATATGTGTTTAATATTTATATAAATAATTAAGCTAAGTTTGATTTCTTCAAGACCTTGTTGCAGATGATTGATGTTTATATACATGGATGCATGTCGAATACATATATGTATAGAAATGAATGTGGGTATATGTGTATATATAGGTGTTACATCTATGGGTTTTGAAGGAGAGGGGAAGGACAAGTTGGTGGTGATAGGGGAAGGAGTTGATTCAGTGAAGTTGACGGAGAGGTTGAGGAAGAAGAATGTGTATGCAACCATTGAAACTGTTGAAGAAGTCATACCGCCAAAACCACCGGAGAAGAAAGAATAAAAGCCGCCGCCAGCTCCACCGCCAGCTCCACCTCCACCGCCATGCCAACCTCAACTTCAGTTCTACGAGGTAGTCTCCGATGACCCATATGCAACAAACCCTTGTTGCACCATAATGTGACCCAATCATATACCTCCATAAAATATGGTGTGGTATATATATATATATATATATACGCGCATATATATAATGATCGGAAAAGTCAATACACCTATTTAAATTCTCTTTGTCGAGATTGACTCGATCAAACTTATTTTCATGCTAGCAAGTAATATCATATGTATTTGTCACCAGAGAGACAAACACACACACACACACACACATATATATATATATATATATTGCACGGTTCACTTTTTTCTTGTACTACAGCAAACATTAGTGCTTGTAGAGTAGGGGAAATTACGATTATATTTTAAGTAATTAGATACAATGATAAAGAAACCTTTTTTTTATAGTCTACAAATCAATGAACGCGTAATTCTAATTTCTAAAATTATGTAATAAATCTTTGTTTCTTAGGTAGAATTTAGACCAATCACTTAAATTATTTTAGTGTATGTGTGAGTGTATATATATATACATATATGTATATGTATATTGAAATGGCACGGGAGAAAGAACATAGGCAGCTAGGTTTTACAGGGAAGCTTCCAATCCTAAATTCTAATTTATCAATAAAGAAATTATAAAGATATTAAATTTAATTAGACATATAATTGATTTAGAATTAACATGTTATTTTTATTTATTTATATGATATTTCTTATATTATTTCATCAAAATTTAAATTTAAATTAAGCTCAATATTAGGATTTGAAGTTTAAGTTTTATAAAAGTTTGAAAAAAAAAATCACAATGAATTGACTACCTTACTTGAACTTACTATTATATTAATCAACACCTAATCTATGGAAAATGTAAGATTAATTTTTTTAATTTTATTGAGTTAAATATAATATAATACTATAAAGATATTAAATTTTATTGATTAATTAGTAAATGAAATAAATATATATATATATATATATTGTATGTCTAGAATAGGTCATATAACCAAACATAATAATTCCCTTACAATTTCATTAACAGAGAAGGCTACATCCATGTATGTTTTATAACCAGCAAAATCCTACCAGACACCATGGTGTTATTACAAAATCTCTGGATTCCATGAGAGCTGCTGGATGCTCATCCGTCTCACCGATCTAACCATAAGCTCATCAGATGCCCGATTTCTAACCAGTCTGTTTTGCATACTCTGAAATGATGGAAGGTCAATTGATTCGAGTATTCTTTCTCGCTGTTCTGGGTCCTCGGAGAAACTGATAAGTGCCTCTGCCGCATTATCCCTCAGCTCCTCTGACTCATCATGCAGCATTTCAAGCAGAATTGGAACTGCCCCAGCATCACTGAGAGCAACTCGGTCTCCCTCATTGTAACTCAACTGAGCAATTGCCCCGGAGGCCTTTTCTCTAACCTCAATACTTTCATCCTGTAAAATCTCCACGAGTATTGGAATTGCACCTGAGTTTCTAACAACAGGTGTTGAGTGCTTGTAACTGGAGAGATCCCAGAAAACATCAGAAGCTGCAGCCTTTGCTGCATCATCACCTTCTCTTAGGATTCTCACCAATTGATCAGCTATCGAAACAGCATTCCCTTCTGCAACAGCTAATATGCAAAACACATCCTCTGCAATTTCTTTCCCTATTGGTTCAGGTCCCAGAAGAAGCTCAGCATATAAAGGTATGGCCCCAGCTTCGGCAACAGGCCTAATGTAATCAACATGAGCCGATATGACACCAAGAGAATTTCCCACAAGCAACTTTGTTGAGTTATCTCCTACCCGGAACAACTCAACGAGAACTTCGATCACACCCAATTCAACCAGCATACGCCTAGCGCGTCTTGCAACCCCAAGCAGCCCAATAGCTCGACAGGCTCTTTCTCTAGACACAATGCTGCCACAACTAGCAGCCTCAACAAGAAATCTAAGCCCTCCAAAATTGATAAGCACCATCCTCACTTCTGTTGACAATGTCAGTGCACTCAAAATCTCCAACAGGTATCGCCTAGTGCCATCCCTATTCAAGTTTAACATATTAATAACAATCTCCAACCCACCATTTCTAGCCACAATCAAGCGATTTGCTTTAGCAAAAGTGACAAGACTCCAAAGACACTTTACTAGAAGTCTTTGAAAACCATTACCAGATAATGGCAACAATCTTAATATAGAATGTAAAGCACCAGATTGACCTATCTCTCTTGCCAACCTGCCTTGCCCAGAACAGGCAATCCTTTTTAAGCAATAAGCAGATGCTTCTTGAATGGACTGGTTTAGATTATCTGAATTTCCACCGGCAAGAAGATCAGCAAGAATTGGAATAGTTCTAGCTAATACATCTCCAGGGGCTTGATTTGAGATGTGGGCAAATTTGACAGTGGCCTTTAAACGCATAGCTTCAGTACCAAAAACCATTACTTGTTCATAGTGTTCGAATGCTTTTTCCCAATCTGGAATCAAATTTTCTCTGTTCTTCTCTGAATCTGAATGACCCATGACAGAAAATTGCAGGCTGGATCCAAGATTTCGATCTCACTCCAATTCAGACTTCATAATTCTATGCAAACGGAAGGATAACCCCAAACAGAAACACATAAAAACAGCATAACTCTCCACAACCTTTATGGGGATGCATAAATTAAATAGTGTAGAGGTCAATTGTTCTACAGAAACTGAATCCCTTTAACAGAGTCTTCAACTATGAAAAGAATTCTTGGTTCAAAATTAAAACTCAAAAAGAGCAGTACGTAAAGAGAGGAAAATGGAAGGAAATACAAAAATATAACGAGAAATTGTGGAAAAGACGAGAAGTAGCAAATACCCTTCTTTATCAGTAGGTGAAATTGGGGATTTTGTGGATTCGGAAGTTTAAGAGCTTCGAATATTTCCCAAATCGAAGAGGGAGAATTAGGGTTTTGCTTTTAATACAATTCACAAGGAGCTCCATTGCGGGCTTGGGCTAAATTGGCCTCCCCCAGTACGACGACATCAACTTGTGAGAGAAAAAAAAGGAATTTGAAAAATATACAAATATGTTAAAATGAAAATAATAATTTAATTTCAAATAAATTCTATATTCAATTTAAGTTACATAATTTTTTATAATTTTTTTATTTGATATATGAGGATATAAAATTATGATTACAAGATTAAGAATATAAATAGTAATAATACTTTATATATCACATCTGTAAAATTATAAGTAATTTTTATGTATCATATAACTCGCATTTAAGAATTAAATGAGAATTTGAATATAAACTCTCTCCATTAAATAATTAATTCGGCTAGATTATTAATATTTTTAATTTTTTATTTAATAATAATAACATTTTTTCTCAAAAAAAATTATGACAATTGATTATTTTTCTTAATTTAATGTTTACAAAATATTACTTAAATAATAGCTAAATCAAATTATTATTTATATTAATTGACATATTTTTCTTAGTGATGAAATTATAAATAGAGTTATAATTATGCTTAATCTTAACATAATTTTTATATTGCTTGTTAATAATTTAGCAAAGTTTTATTTGGCTTGACTTTTTACCCTCCAAAATTTAGTTTAATTTTAGAACCAGACCAAAATTTTTACTTTGATTTCAGTTTAGTTTTGAAAATTTTGTAAATCAAATCAAATTATCATAATAACATAGTAAATAGACTATATAACAAACTATTTAAATAACTAATGAGCATAATTAGTTAGAAAAATATGCTCAAATCTAACTTATAAGAAGATAGATTACGATAAGCCCAGTTCGATTTCAACAAACTAATTTTAATTATTTTAATTATTTTTACGCGTGTTTATGTTTAAAAATTTAAATTTTTATTTTTATTTAACTTAAAATTAATATATATTATGTTGTACTAAAAACAAATTCAATTGTGGGGGGATTTCACACAGCCATGTTTGTTAGTTTTAAGATTATAGGCTATATATCTCACATATCCCTTAAAAAGGTACAAAATGTGAAATGTCCCTCTCAGATCTGATCAAGTAAATTGATTGCAGCATGAGAATTGAATGCATATGCAATATATATATATATATATATATTATAGAGGTAATATACATGGAGAGAGTAGGTCAAGGAGACAAAGTGGATAAATGGGTATAGGAAGTGTCCCAATGTGTGCCCTAGTTAAGGGGGGAAAGTGGAAGAGGTAAAATAGCAATCCTGAAAAAGTGAAATCCCCTTCCCCCAAAACATGAACCATAAACTCTAAGGGATAAAGGAAGTCCTTTTTTTGGGGGACTGACAAACAACTAATGTGAAGGGTCATTATTGAATTTCAATGCAAGTGGGTAGGACACTCTCATGTATCCAACCAACAATAGTGACAATACCTAAAATAATATTAAAGTTTTAGATTAAGTCTAAACATTAGTACACCCACAATAAATTGATATACAAATATATATATATATATATATTACATAAGACTTTTTTAAAATATTTCTAAATTGTAAGTTATTGATTTTTTTCTTAATTGGTTGGATCATAAATACAGTGACTTATTTCAAAAACGAACTTTCTAATTTAAGCTCAGAATAATTCAATTATATCAATAGAAAGAATAGAAGAAGTGTTTGACTCATTCATGCACACTTTACTTGGCTCAGATAAGATATAAGTTAACTGGTAGAATTGTGTTCTTATAATTTGATCATTACGTTCTGATTATAGATTATGTGTCAAATTATTTAGGCAATAGTAATAATATCTTTTACCTGAATTGATTATTCACTTTTTTTAAATAAGATAAAAAAATACATTGTTAAAAATATAAAAAAAAAAAAAAGTAAAATGATCAATTGACCATATTTAGTATGATAAAATGACTTGTGCTTCTTCTTATATAAAAAAGAAGAAGAAAAAAAACTTTCTCTATAAAAAGTAACAAGGAAAAAACTTTTATATTTATAATTGAATTGTACCTATATTTGAAGAAATTTTTACATATTTAATATGTAAATCGAAGTTATTCAAATAGTATTATTAACAGAATTTATCTCACGTTGTAAGGACTATAGTCCTAATAAAAGTAAGTATATAACGTGGTGTAACAATTCAAACATATAGCACGAAAATTAAGGGTACAGTGAACAATTTGTAATTAATTAAAATTAAAATTTTTAGTTGTTATATATATATTTATTAGCTTAACCCCATTTTTATACCCATTTCATTTTTTTATTTTATTTTTTTTGGTGCCTCATTATTTTCCTTTATTTGGTGAGAATAAATTTCATAAGATGTAAGTGACATATGAATTTAATGATGCCCCACATATCATCTAATTTCAACTTATTTTTATCAACTCATATGGAGATAATGACACAACAACTAAGATTACCAAATCCCTAATTATATACATATATTATAATCCTTTATAATATATAGTTTGTAGTAGTAGTAGTAGTCCATCCCACCACCACATTGATAAAGTTTTAAAAGCAGATTATCATTATTTTAATTGTATTATAAATAAAGTAGCTTTAAAGTACCATCAGCAATCATTATTTTCCTTTAATTAACTTGCAACCCATAATTATTTAAACCATAAAAAAATCAATTAGTGATAAGTTTAATCTCAGTTAATTTTATACGGTA